GGACATCACACCATTCAACAGCATTATATGTCAACATATTGCCTAATACAAGAAGCATATTAATCACTACAACAAATAAATGGTTCTGTATATAAAATGTATAGGATTTTATGTCCTATTATCACATTTAAGTAAGTTGTTCTTATACATTCAAAGTTCTGGAATGAAACTCTAGATTGGCGCAGTCCGATAGGTAAAAATCTGGCATAATGACATCAATATCACATGGCTCAGTTGATTGGTTCTTTTTGTATCAGCAGCCAATGAGCTTGCTGCTCAGCATTCAAATATTTGGCAGGTGCTTGCTGTAGCAGTTGCAGTGCGCATCAGAAACCCTCCACCTTCCCCAGCTCCACCTGTATAGATCGTAATGGTTTTTCTACTGTACAAACTGTATTTTCTATTCCCTTACCCTTTCCCTAAACCTACCCCTCACACAAAACTACAGTTATTTTCAAAATATTTCATTCTGTATGACTTGGAGTAGAAGTTTTTTCCTCATGGGGACCAAATAAATGATCAAAATTTACTGTTATTACTATACTTGTGGAAACATTTGGACCTCATAATACAGGCAATAGCAGTACACACACACCACAGAGACACACACATTGTAATGGCAAAATCAAGATAATTTAATTACAGTTTCTACCTAATCAACAAAGCAAACACTTTCTTTTTTCTTCTTCTTTCCTTTATGTCCTTTCTCCACCTTTCCTCCTTTTTATTAAGGTATATTTGTCTTCTTTTAGGGTCTGCATCATGACGAGCCCTGTAGCGTTGCTGCTTTTCTGCAGCAGACAACAGTGCTATTTTCTGACAGATACATGCATACCATTTAAGCAACTCTTTCTTTTAAATGCATAATAAATTAATTATAAGTACCAATACATGCTTTAAACACCTATTTATCTAATTTTTCCATCCACTGTTACAATATGTCCACCCTGTTACAGTGCAAAACAGTAACAGGAGGGATATTTTATGCTAATGTCAGCCATTGCTACTGATGAACGACAAACTAGTGCGCAGTGATCACTGAGGAAGATTTTTAACCTGTTTATTAACCATATTTTCAAAATTACAAAAAATTATCAGTTTCCACTATAAATAAGCATAACAGAGTGGACATGTTATGCTTTACCACATCAGTGAATCATTCAAAAACACTGGAAAAAAGGGTGAATTAAGGATTGTTACTTACTCTGCTTCTTGTAGATAGTTTGCCACCAAAAAGTGTTATACTTCCTGAGAGTCATGTTATTAGAGAAACATTCAAGGGCTGTGTTCAGATGGACTTTTCATCAGAGTAACAGGGGGGACATTCAATTCAGGGACACAACATGTTTAAAGACTTTAAGCATTAAAAATGTATAAATAACAAAAATATGTTTTGTTGAGGAATATTGTAAATAAGAATGCACAACAATATTGAAAAATTTGGAATTTGATTTTTATGACATTTGTGGCTGAAGTTATGCAAGCTTACTTGGGGACATGGCAGTTTACTTGCACTAAAATAAGATTATTTTTAATTCATTAATTTTGGCTACATATTGTGTTCTATGGTAGAGGGGCAGTAACTTTGTAAGATGAGCATTCAGAAACAAGAACTAGCCCATTTTTACACAAAATATATCACATTATGTCATGGGGACTCAAATGGCACCAAATGCTAGGATGACCCCTTTATGTATTTAATCCCATTTTATTAACCAATGTCTTTGCTGCTGACCTTCAATGATCCAATTCAGCCATACTAATAAGCAGTGTTGGGGGTAACGCATTACAAGTAACGTGAGTTACGTAATCAGATTACTTTTTTTCAAGTAACTAGTAAAGTAACGCACTTTCACCAACACTGCTAATAAGCAAAAATTACTTCGAATTTACATTTCCTTCAGCCTGTATTAATTTCACTTTTGGTGTGAAAGTGCTTTAAGATTTGCTAAAAATAGAACTTATTTTAAAAACAAGCAAGCAACCCAGTTGAGACAAAGTAACGCAAAAGTAATGTAATTAATTACTTTCCATAAAAAGCCACTAAGTAACGCAATTAGTTACCTTTTAGGTTGTAACACAATGTTGTAATGCATTACTTTTAAAAGTGACTTTACCCATTTCCGGTGAGGAGTCATGAGAGACATGTATCCAGCTGCTCAGTGGTTTTGTTTCATATCTGGCCCTGCTGTTTCACTTATAATGTGACGTAATGTCTGATTCAGGCTACTGAAAGCAAAATATCGGAGTTTAAAGGGGTCATATGATGTTGCTAAAAAGAACATTATTTTGTGTATTTGGTGTAATGAAATGTGTTTAGAGTGACGTAGGTATGTGGGGGCGTCTTAGAACGAGGCGTTTTAGGTAGGCGTGGCTGACTCTCAACTTTTATAAAGAATATCTCTTTGGATTTGAGACTTTAGTCTTTGCAACTTTACAGATCTTCTTCATGCACCAAGAGCTTGTAACACTCCAAAGAGAAAGGAAAAATTGAAATCGCATCATATGACCCCTTTAAATCATTCAAAGCTTATAAACACTTTGCAAAGAGTCTTAGCGCTGTCTGAATGTTTTACTGGAGCCAAACACTAGAGGGCAGAAGAATCAGTCAAATGAGCTGAACCCGTCAGAACCACAGCCTGAACGCGCGCGTGTGTGAACCTCATCAGCCGAGTATGATTAATGGCGTTTCAGCTCTATTTTTGTGGTTCATTTAGCAGTTTCTCAGTTCTATAAAGTGCTCTGATCTTCAGTTTCTGTCGTGTCCATCTGTACCGCTGTCTGTGAGCAGAATGCTGCTGTCAGAAGCGCTGCTGGACATCTGGACGCCCCGCTGATAGAGTTTATGTGGTCAGACCTCACTGTCACAAACAGCAGCTCTTTCTCAGCTGTTTTCAAAGAATGTAACGTTCTGTAAGCATCTATTTACATGAAAAACATGTATAGATGAACATGACTCATTATGACCTGTTGATTACGGATTGAACTGTGGATTAGCACTTAGGTTACTATAAATGATAGTAAAAAAATAAATCCGTCTTGTGAAAAATAAATACACTTAGCATACTTTTAATAATGTATATTAACATATAATATATACAGAAAATATGTTAAAAGAATATATTTAAGTGTGAAGTAGGCTACTTCTAAAAAGTATAGTAGGCTACAAGCATTTATGATAAAACTAAAATATACTTTAATGTAATTTCTATTGTATGTATTTAAATATATTTGTAATTACACATTCATTGACGAAGTTGCAATTTAGTAGGCCTACATTTAAAATATATGAATTTTAAATGTAATATTAACACGCTACAGTTAAAATCAAGTACTTTACATGTGCTTTAGAATGTTAGGCAACACAAGTGTACTTTTTTAAACCACAACAAAAGATTAAAACTAACTAATGATTTAAAAAGTACTTTAAAGTATAACTTTCTTGACATTACTACAAAGTGTGCTTTTTAAAAGTGCACTTAAGTGTGTCAAGAAACAGTCATGAAAGTGTCTCTCTTTTAGTACACTACAAATGCACATTCAATACAGTTAAGTGCACTTCATTTTCAGAAGGGTTCAGCTGGTTTTATTGGTGTGATATTTTAAAAACCACTGCCTCTTTCTTATGTGCTGAAGTTCATTCAGTTAGACCAGTGGTTCCCAACACTGCACATTTTGCATGTCTCCTTTCTCTGACACACCAGTTTCAGGTCTTGGAGTCTCTACTAATGAGCTGATGACCTGAATCAGGTGTGTTTGATTAAGGAGACATGCAAAATGTGCAGTGTTGGGGTGCCTCCAGGACCAGGGTTGGGAACCACTGAGTTAGACTGATGGTTGAGCGGCCTTTCTCTCTGGAAACCAACTCACTTCCTCAGTGACTCAGATGCTTGACACCACATTTCTTACAGTCTCATGGCACAGTTAGTTCATTCTATTCTATTCTACACACTGCAGCTTTACTAATGTCTAAACCTCTAAGAGTGACGTCACGGTGTTGTGTAGACGTACTTTCCCGTACGTGTCTCCACCTGTAACACAGACGGCAGGAGAGATTAAAGCTCACTAGTGCTGCAGAATCATCTGTCCTTCACTGATACTCTAATCTAACAGAGACCAGCAGAAACTTCATCTGTTCTCGCCAAACATAATCTCTGTCATCACTGGAGGAACGAGGCTGGTCTACACAAACTACAGCTGAACATCAGTATTCACAAAAACACAAAGAATTTATTTATGCTGATTACTGGTGAAACAGTGATTGCATGAAGTGTCAGGACACTTAACCCTTGTGCGCTCCTCATTTGGGAGTCACACTCATGGTCTTCGCGGTCAAAAGTGACCGGACACCTGAAATGTAACTTTTTTTTTCTTCAGTAAAATCAATGTAATATATTTTTGTTCAATAATATTTTTTATTTTGTATTTTGAGATAATTTTATGGTAATAATTAATATTTATGCAATAATTATTATCAATTTTTCCAATTCTAGGCCATCCAAGATGGAGATGAGTTTGTTTCTTCATGAGATTTGGAGAACTGTTGCTGACCAATGGATCCCCTGCAGTGAATGGGTGCCGTTAGAATGAGAGTACAAACAGTTGATAAAAACATCACAATGTAATCCACGCCACTTCAGTCCATCAATTAACATCTTGTGAAGTCAAAATCTGTTTGTAAAAAACAAATCCATCAAGATGTTAATTTCTTAAATCCATAATCCGTAATAACGCTTCCTCCAGTGAAAAAGTCCATCTCCTGTTGTGTCTCACATTAAAATCCACCCACGTTTGTTCAGAACTGTTTTGGCTGGCTTGTAAACATTGCCTGATCTGTGCAGATTTCTCTCCTGATTCAGACCAGACCACTTTTTCACTGAAGGAAGCGTTATTATGGATTATTACACACACAGAAACACACAAACACACACTTTATTTGTCAGCAAAGAGTGTATCATGTAACAGTCAGTTATTTAATTTTATAGTACAAATATGTGCAGTACAGAACCATTTCACTAGTTCGTTTTTATGTCAAATACAAATCAATTGAATATTGCAGGAGTCATTACAGTACTTTGATTGATATCACAAAAAATACTGATTCAAAACATGTCGAACTTAATTCATGCACACAAAGAAAACCAGACAGGCAACATCCTGAAATAAATACACCTCGATGGAAAACTGATTGTTTGTAAGTCCTGATCAAATTTGACATGGTATCACACAACTGTGCTCTACACACAAATTTACCATTAAATGCAAGAGCTATTAAATCACGAAGCAAAAAAGAAATGGGTCTTTTCGCTTTGGATGTTCTTATAATTAATCCCAAACTTTTTATTTTTTCTTTCAAAATTACACTGGTGCTGCAATTAACTAATCTTCAAACGTTGATGACATTCTAAAAATGTCAGTTGTTTATCAGGACAAAAACACTTTTAGCAATTACATCTTTTCCAAGCAACTTCCCCTATAAGATCTCAGTTCTGCAGAATTAAGAAGTGAAAATGAGACAGAAAAAGAGTCCGAACTCAACTGTACAGTCAAATTCAGTGCTATTGCATGCAATATAAAAATACCCAAGCACGAATGCATCTTTCAGTGTCGTGTAAACACCAGAGAGTGACTGAAATCATAACTAACAGACCTGATAATGCGACTGGAGCTCGTTTCTTCCAGCATGTAAAATCAGAACTGCATTTGTCCTTTACATTGTGCATCTGATCTGAAAGACTGAGGCACAATATGTGTTTAATCCTACAAATACTGGATTATGCATTCGGACTCAGCATGTAAACATACATCTTCTGTGTTTGCAGTCTAACGGACGGAGCCCCAGCTGAAGGTCCCGATGGAGATGAGCGTCTGACAGGCTCCAGACGACAGCCACACCGTCTCCATCAGACTGAAGTGAAGGAAGCCCAGAGCGAAGCCGCACGCCATGTCCGTCAGGTGGTGTTGGCCCAGCAGAACGCGGGACAGGCCCACCAGGACGGCCCACAGCACCAGCAGGACCCGCAGCGGGACGGCCAGCACCAGATGGGACAAGAGGAACTTGGACACCATTGCTGCTCTGCTGGCGTGTGCAGCCGGGAACGAGTACGTGTCCAGAGCCACATAGTCCAGAAAGCCGGGATTTATGTCCCATGGTCCTTTGCGCCTGACCAGTTTCTGAACCCCGGCCACAGTCAGGACATCAAGAATCAGCGCTGAAAGAGAGGTAAAAGAAATGATAGAGAGGAGTTGAGTGTGTCTCCATCAGGACATTTAGACCTACAGAACGTCTATAAAAAGCATGAAGCACATGGACACTGAAATACACACAGCAGCACAATTTCTTCATGAGTAACAACACAAAATCATCTGAGACTTTCATCATCACATGTACACCATGCACAAAAACAGCAGTTTCTTGACCAAACTTTCCATGCCATTTCCATAACATTTGAAGTTTTAATTCATTTCCAGGATTTTTCCATTTCCAGGATGGGACATTTCGATTTTATGTTGCATAAGACTGTAGACCATTGTGAAAAAGAGTACTTATTAAAAGAATATACTTAGGTATGAACTGAATGTGAACTTAAGTGTAACTAAAACTAAAACCATTAAAAAACATTTTTGTTAAATTAAATAAAATAAACGTCAACTAAAATATTACAAAACTATTAAAAATAGGCCTAAATTATTATTATTATTTTTTTTAAATCTCAGCTTTTTTGTTGCTGAGATTTAAAAAAAATTTCTTTATCTTGAGATTTATCTTGTTTTCATTTAGTTTAACTTGATGTACTAAAATAAACTAATACTGAAATGGTTAAAATCTATATAGACTTATGTTAAAAAAGAAACAAAAACTACTAAAAATGTCAAAACACAGCAAAATTGACTAAAACTGAAATAAATAAGAAAAAATATAAAAATTAAATTCAAAATATTAATAAAAACTATAACACTGCCCTGCATCATATTTGCTGAAATCCAATAATCGCTTCTAACAAATTTTGGCTGCTGGTTCCAAGAACGTCACACTTTCTCACTAAATGTTTTGCATTTTGTAACATTTTTGCCTTGGATATCCATCAGGGTGAAGAAGCCTTGTATTCTCCATTAATCAGCAGAAAAACATCACAAACACATGATTCCTGTTTTCCTGTCCTGCCCATTTTGACATGTATGACATTACTTGATGCCTAGTCCTGATTTTATATATACTTATATATAATAATAATTATACATATATATAATTTGAAAAATCTTATTTTGTGAAACAACTTGATATAAAAACTTTCTTTTTTCAAAATGCAGTGCTGTGTAATAGTATCAAAGTCCTAAAATAAGACTGGCAGAGCGTCTCACCTATCAGCAGGTTGATCAGGACCTCTTGTCCAGCCAGCGTGTTACTCTGAGTGAGACACACCAGAGTCCCACAGATCCACGTGATGCCGTGACCCGTCAGAGCCAGCAGAGTGACCGCCGAGCGCATGCTGCCCCATGAGGATGTGGTGTGGACGCACACACCCAGACGCTTGGACAGACAGATGTCGATGGCCAGCAGTGAGTTGATGGCGATGCCTCTGAAGGACGGGTTGAGCAGCATGCAGTCTTCATCCGGCAGCCTGGTCGCCTCTCTGCGCTCCTTCATGCTCTCACCCGGCTCTGGCAGGTTCTCACTCTGCTGGTTCTGCTGGGACCTGGACTGGCCGGATCTTCTCCACGCTCTGTTGTTTCGCGGCGGGACGTTCAGGGACAGAAACTCGGGCCAGCCCATAACGCTGCTGCTGCCACTGCGATCCTTCGCTCTGGAGCGACTTGGGTTCAAAGGCATTGTGTGGTTTAATCGTACAGCAGGATGAGAAACTAATGTGAGCTTCAGATGTAGGTTCAAAGTAGGCTGTGAAAACAGTGTCAGATATATTTAGACATGCACAAGTGTATGTGTGTGTGGATATCTAACTGCATATTGCTTTCTCATTTAGGTTTATAAATGGGTAGTTGTTCACAAATAAGCTTTTTTTTTTTTTTTGCAACATCATGATTTTAGCTGACAGTTTATTTTGATGACCACTTACAGCACTGCATAATTTTTTTACACTATTTTTTTCAGTTTAGATCACCTTTTTGTCATCACTGATTCAATGACCCCCCCCCTCTGCTTGCACAACAGAAATGTAGAAATTAAATATTTTATGTAGAAATTAAATAATGATTTTCAGCAATCTCTCTCTATTTTGTGAGCATTCTTCTGTCTCAGACGCATGTCTGAAATCAGTTTTTTAAGGCACCTTATACAAACGCTGCCTGTGTGAAGTCATTGCCTTATACTATAGGCAAGCGAGGCAACTGATTAAACTTTTGAAGGGATCCATTCACTTGTTTGGTTCCTCAATAAATCAGTGTTTTTGAATGAAATGGCTAAGTGAATAATTCAACAATTCATAAAGACAATCACCTTTTGCCACATACTGGTTTAACCTGCAGAAAAAGTCACTGACAATGAGAAAATGTCACATCTCAAGGTATTTTGATTCACCCTTTCCAGCAACTATAATTATGTCTGTCTGGGTATTGATTAGCAACATTTGAAATATTGTGAGTCACCCCAGAATTCAATAAAGTGGGGAAGTCATGGCCTAATGGTTAGAGAGTCGGACTCGTAACCCAAAGGTTGTGGGTTT